GAGGACAAGATAGGTCTGGGCAGGCCCGTTCCTGGCGAGCGTGCAGTGCGTGCACGCACGCAGGCGCAACATTTTGGGGGCGCAAAATCAAAAAGTCAATCAGTGCTTGATATGAGGATCAAAAAAGGAGAGAAATGGTCATAATATTTTTAGTATTTGTTTGATAGTTGCAGTTGACGGTAGCAAAGTTTAACAGTAATCTACACAGTGCATGACTTTGTAACGAGCTTATAAGCTGTTATTAGTCGCTGCCCTTTCGCTATGGCTATTTGACTAATTCTATTTTAAAGAGTATACTTTGAAGTCAAAAATGATCAATTCAATTAGTCTAATTGCTATAGCGAAAAAGGAGCGACTAATAACATGATATTAGTCGCTGCTTTTTCGCACTAGTTTACATCGAAAAAAAAAATCTGCCCACCAAATCCTATTGTAATTTTCCCATGTATTTTAACCCACTAAACACGAAAATCACACTCATAGGAATTTTTTTTATAAGAAGCGTTTTTGAAATATGAATTTTCAAATGTTTTTTTTTCAATTTTGTGTTTTGACGTGTTTGAGTATAGCCCTCTAAAACTTTCTTTTACATACTTTTGATATCGGATAAGTATTTTGATGCTATCGATTTTAATAACTGATATAAAATTGAGGTCGAAAATTTACATATCGTCCTGGGAAAGGTTTTAATCAAACAGATAACTCCAGTTTGATATTACGTATAGATAACACTGTGCAACACCAAAAATCAAACCGCACCGGACTATTTTTTTCTGAAAATATACCTATCCAATAGCAAAACCCTCGCTGGGTTTGTAAAAGTTAGCTCGATTTATTTTTTTATGGCCGTTTGTATTTTCTAGCTTCATATACCCCAATTTAGACTTTTTTTCGCATATATTATATTATATTATATCGTCAAGATTTTTTGTAGAAATGTAGTTACTGAACAAATAAACCCATTTTGTGAACAGACTATATCTATATTCGAAAAATTATTTTTTTTTCAATTTTTCGATAATATTTAAAGTTTCTTGCTACTTCTTCTGACAAAAATGTTGTAAAGTATATTATTAAAAAACTTTTTTATATCAAAACATTGAGTACCTAATCTGATTCATTGCTGGAGAATTCCATCCCTTCCACTTCTCCTTTATTTTCTTGTTCTTCATTTTCATTTTTGATTCATCACTGAAGAATTCCATCCCTTCATTTCATATATTTTTTATATTCATTTCATTTCAGGCGTTTTAAATGGTCCTGATATTCGGAAATTGGTAAAGTATGAATACTTTGACAGGACTTTGGTTGAGGATGAGATTGTTGCGTGGGCGTCGATAAGAGAAATCATCGTTGGACTTTTAGGCAAACGTCGTTCTCCCAATTATGAAGGATCTGTGCGACGAATGTTGGATGTTTTTTTCCAAAATTGGAGTCAATATGTCGCTAAAAATTCATTTCCCTCATCGCCATTTGGATTACTTCAGTCGACAGTTATCGACACAATCATCAAACTGCGATGCCATTTGACGAAAACGAGCTCCAGATGCCATACTAGCCGAAACATTTTGGTGAAGTTAACATATTTTTGACTACGATCAGGAAGAAAATGAAAATGAAGAACAAGAAAATTAAGGAGAAGAAGTGGAAGGGATGAAATTCTCCAGTGATGAATCAAAAAATGAAAATGAAGAGCAAGGAAATAAAGGAGAAGAAGTGGAAGGGATGGAATTCTTCAGCAATGAATCAGATTACTCAATGTTTTGATATAAAAAAGTTTTTTAATAATAAAATTAATACAAAATAAAAAATCAAACTCTCTGTACTTTTCTACAATTCTATTTTATCTATTCAATTTTTTCCTACAGATTTTTCGGCAAAATATTTGGTGTTGAATGTGAAAAGATGAATATTTTGGAAAATCTTGTTTAAACATTATTTTCCAGCAAATAAACAAACTTAAAGTTCAGTTTTGTGTGCGTATTTTATAAATTACTTCTTTTAGTATACATTTCTGCCAGAAGAAGTAGCAAGAAATTTTAAATATTATCAAAAATTTAAAAAAAAAAATGTTTCGAATATTTGGCTTTTGGGATAAAGGTTCTTCACAAAATGGGTTTATTTGTGCAGTAACTACATTTCTACAAAAAATCTTGACGATATAAATCGAATATATGCGCAAAAAATCGATTGATGGGTCTAAATTGGGGTATATGAAGCTCGAAAATACAAACGGCCGTAAAAAAAAATTCGAGCTAACTTTTACAAACCCAGCGAGGGTTTTGCTAGTGGATAGGTATATTTTCAGGAAAAAATGGTCCGGTGCGGTTTGATTTCGATGACCCGAAAATTGTCGCACAGTGTAATACCAAAAGGAAAAAAATAAGCTGTAAGTTATGAATTTTTCAGTGGACGACCAAAATTCAGTTTTTTGAGAATAGGACTTTTTGATTTATATCTTTCCCAGAAAGATATGTAAATTTTCGACCTCGGTTTTTGTAAAAAAAGGACTTTTCGAGGGACCTTTTCAACTAAATAAAATCGCTAGCATCGAACTACTGGGCCGATACCAAAACTATACAAGAAAAAGTTGTAGGGGGCTCAATTACCTTTGATTTAAGTGCTTGTTTGGTCAAATCGATCAATTTGAACTCGCTAAAACGTCAAAACCTCAGAAAATTAAAAAAACAATTGAAAATTCATATCTCGAAAACGCTTCCATGAAAAAAATTGTGATTTTCGCGTTTAGTGAGCCAAACTACACCAGAAAATCATAGTGAGACATGGTGGGCAAAATAGCTGTAAACTATTGTAATTATACATAATTACAATAGTTTACAGCCATTTTGCCATACAAATTTGTATCCCGGACATTTAGCAGTCAACTCCTATGTAAAATTGTCCGCTGAATCCGAAAATGTCAAAAGTTAAAAAAAAAGTAGAACGTTTTTGAGATTTAGTAAATTTTCCATAAAATATGGAATTGACTAAATCTTAAAAATTGTTTTATTTTCATAATTTTTAACGGTATTTTCAGATTCAGGGGACAATTTTACATAATAATAAGCTGTTAAATTTCCGGTATACAAATTGCTGTGGACTAAAGTTATTAGTGACTGCTTTTTTACTTCGCAAAACTAGTCATTTTTAGAGAGTACGTCACTAAAAACCAGTTGTAGTTATTATTTCAAATTTTGTATTGTATTTGTATATGTATGTGTAAATATCATTTAGAACACAATTTATTGTGTTTTTATAATATATTCTAGTTTTTAGTGCCTTTTTTTAAATTGAGTAGGTTTACTGATTTTACGTAACTTATACCTTAAAAATTAAAATATTAAGATGAAAGAATTTTAACAGCTGTCAAACACGTTTTTAGGTTATTTTGTTTTGTATTTGAATATAATAAAAAATTAAAGGGTCGGAGAAAAAACATTGTGTTTTCTTCAAGCTCATGTTAATGCACACTCGGCCTAACGGCCTCGTGGGCAACTTAAACACTCGCATGAAAAAGTCGTTTTTCAACACTTGTAAAACAAATAACTATTTATACTTAATTATAATTATAAAGCGGTTTTTTTACATTTTCAATTACATATTGCCAGTTTTTCGCAAAATATATATTTTTTAAATTTAAGGGCTTAAAATTAAAATATTTAATGTATTATATTTAAATATGAAAGGGGCGCACCAACGAATTCTGCACGTAGGCGCCAGACACCCCCAGGAACGGGCCTGATTATCTGGGTTTTATTTTGTTTATTTTTTTGCCATTTTAACTATGTTACTTTCTTTAAAAATAAATTGTTCGAAAACAATCTAAAAATCAATTTCACTATTTACATAATTGTAATGTTGTACTTTTCTAATGTTGGTGCTCCCTAAATATCTTTTAGGTAATCTTAAATTATTTGTTTTCTAATGTTGGTGCTCCCTAAATATCTTTTAGGTAATCTTAAATTATTTGTTTTATAAAACAAATAATTTAAGATTGCCTAAAAGATATTTAGGTAGCACCTACATTAGAAAAGTACAAAATTACGTTTCAAAAGACACAAAGTACAAAATTACGTTTTAAAACACACTATAGTGTATAATTATAATTATGCATTAAATGCAAATTATCACTGATATTTTGTTTTTTATGCCATTTTCAATAAAATAACAAAAATAGTAATAATTTGGCGAAGTAAAAAAGACCTTACGATGGACATACATGAATTCTTTTTTTTTTGTTTAGATGTATCATATTTTCCCTTCATTTCCTCAAAAAATTAGAATTGTTCATAAATTATTAATGATTTTATAAAATTATTGCGTAAAAAAGGCCTTAGGATGAAAATACTTGATTTCTTTTTTTTTGTTTCTTATGTCCTCTACAGTTTCTCAAAAAATTATACCTTTTCATATGATCATATATTAATAGTAATTTTAAAAAATTAATACATTAAAGGCAAAAATCCTCTATCTGGAAAAAAGTTTGGAAATTTGGCACACATTTTTTATATTTTTTAAAAACAAATGAGGGGGCGACACGATTAAAATTTCGACATCGGTCAAATAAGAACCACCCTAATACATATATTCTATAGAATTGGCTCGACATCGAAGGGCTTTTCTAAAGAATAACTAAAATTAAGATTAAAATATTTAAAAAATATTTAAAAAAGAATGGTTACAACCAATTTAATAAAGGGCTGGGGGCCCTGGCATTTTGCCAGTCGGGCACTCTATTGTTGTAATGCCAGCAATGTGACAAGTTTCACCATCTTGATGAAAATAAAGTTAAATTAGGTACTTTAAAGTTTAAACCCTCTTTTTTAATAGTATTTATTAAAGGTGTGGTACGATATTTTTGTTGCATAGTTTTGTTAAAGTATACAAAATATATTCATTTTGTGTGATTGTATGTAAATATATTAAACATTGGTATTAAACATTGTATATAAAGGTCATAGTTGAATTAAAATTTAAATAAAACTGTGTATACTTTTTTTTTAATATTTTCTTTATGAATAAAAACAAAAATAAAATTATTACAAATAGGATTTTAAAAAACAATTAGCTTAATATAGTGTTTAAACTTAAAAATTAACTTCTATAAAACATTAAACTAAATATTCCTATCATCGACTGATATTTGTCTTAGCTCATCTATAACAATCAATGGTTCTTTAACATCTTGAACAACTTCCACATTTTCTTGATGATCATCACCATCATCATTAATAATTTTGCTTATAAAAGCCCCCAAATCACTATTATCCAGTATAGTGACATGATTTCCTTCAAACAATTTTACTATAACCTCATTTGAAACCACTTCATTCAAACTGTAGTCATCTCTCAGAATATGCATCGAATTATGGGTAGGTTTGAAAAGCCAGGTTTTTGTGTTTATAGAATCATACGTTGGGATATACGTAAGTAAACCTTTTATTCTCTTATAGACGGCTATGGCACACATACGCTGATGTTCAGGCGAATGAGGACTGTCTTGGCCAGCTACCTCTTGTGCTTTTTTCAGCTTGTCTTCAAATGTGTTGCATTTAAAGAGAGCCTCCTAAAAATTTAAAATATACCTCAGTCATCAGAGTGCTTCGTTTGAAACGAACGTATTTTCCACTCTGCTACTTACCCTACTTTTTGAGACAATATCATATGGTACGTGTAGGGCCATCAAATGCATTATAAGACTAGTTTCAAAATGAGCCTCAGATTTAACATCAAGTAAAGTTGTAAATTCAAGTAATTGGGAAGGAGCTCCATCTATCGATATAAATTTTCCGCTATAACCCTCTTTTTCTAACCTCCCTATAACCTCCATTGCCATTATAGCACCAAAGGAATATGCTATTATGTTAAAAGGTTCGGATTTTTTTATAATGGTTTTGACAGTCTAAAAAAGACAATAAATTCATTAATATTATGAAAAAAATTAATAAATTTCTACTCGCTAATAAACAAAAAATAAAACATTTGAAAAACATTGAAAATGTAAAAGTTTCTATTAAAAAAAGGTTGATCCGTACAAATAATGGTGCTTTTTTTAAACTTTATTTTCTAAAGAATCTATTGGTGTATAATGAAGTGCCTTAATTATTACTTCAACTGGCCTAATCGTGAAATATGCAAGTTAAATATTACTGTCCTAAAAATGTCAACCTAACCTAGAGATATCTCAAGAATGTGAACTTAAGGCTTAAGCTAGATATAACTGTGTTAAGAATGATTTAAACTTACTACAAATAGTTTTTCAGCCATTTCAACTAAAGTGTCAGCTTGGTCAGAATAGCAATACTGTAAACCAACTGTTTCAGCTTCAAGATTTTTCGTGAGGTGGCTCAGTACAGTTGCAACGCCTTCTATACCAGGAAATAAAAGTACTTTTTTGGTGTTTTCATTGAAATGATTGTTTAATTTTGACGGTAAGTTTAGGACAGGTATGTTTATTTCCTCTTCGTCTCCCATAAGACGAATGAGCATGTCCATGCCTACCAAGGCTTTGTCTTTTTTATCAGCGCCTTCCACTTCGTTTTCCTTTTCGGTTTGAATGTCTCGGAGTCTACAGGAAACAAACGTAAAATAAGTTTTATGTTATAAATAAATTCGTTTACCTAGCAAAAGTCATGCTCCTAATATCTTGAGCTGTTAAATACACATCAAATTCCCTCTCCAATGTCTGCTTGATCTCCACGGCCGTCATACTGTCCATACCTAACTCCGCTAGATTCGAATGCAAGCTGATGGACATCAAATCGCGAATTCCTGAAAAAATCACGAAATTTAATAAATCCTGGTGGATGCATTGGTATAGTGATTTTTACCCATTATGTTGGCAACAGCATCGACCACGTTGTCTGCCACGCCTACTCCGCCTCGTTTTTCTGCAACAACCATGCTGGATACAACGGGTGATTTTTGTCTTAAGAAAAGATCCAACACTTTGATACAACTTGAGATTCTTTGTTGTAAAGTTCCACCGATTTCCATTTCGAAGTGTTCTTCCTGCATTTCAGCCACCAAACCCACCTGAAATTAGGTATATTAATAAAATTTTAGTAAGGAGGTTTATGGAAATAATACCTCTCCTATTGCCCCCCATTCTACTGCTAAAGCTGGGAAGCCTTCATTTCTGCGTTTTTCACAGATCCTTTCCATTATGGAGTTTGCCATTCCGTAATTGGTTTGTCCAGGGTTGCCTCTACCACACGATACTGAAGAAAATATAACGAAATCCCTTAAAAAAAATGGTTTTTGTAAGACACTCTTAAACACCCTATATTACTACCTCAACTCTGGACACATAAGTCTTGTCACTTCATCTAAATTAAATGTAGCCAAAGCTTTAGGACCGAAAGAAGTCCTAAACGATTCTATATTTTGATTTTCAAGTATTGCATCTTGTAGAATCACAGCTAGGTTGAAAATACCTTCGACCGTACCTAAATCTTCAGCTTCGTTTATCAATTGTATACATCCCTCTTTGGTTTTTATATCTGCTGTAGATATTTTTACGTGTACGCCGTAAGATTTCCATGTTCTAATCCTCAAAGATTGATACCCAGTTTTAACACCACTTCTAGATGTAAGAACTAACTTTCTAGCACCTCGTAGTACCATCCAATCAGCTAGCTCCAGTCCAAAACCTCCTAATCCTCCTGTGATAATGTAAGATTTATCTGGGTCGCAAAAATATCTAGGAATGCCTTTAAAGAGTCGGGGTTTTGGCACAACAATCTCCTCCTTTTCTTCAGTTCTGATTTTAAGCAATACTTTGCCAATGTGTTTACCACTGGACATAAATCTAAACGCTTTCTCCATTTCATCGTCTTTAAAAACAGTTCTCGTTAAAGGTATAACAGAACCATTTTCTATTCCTTCCAAAATCAACTCTTTTATCTCTTTCTTTAATACAGGACTTTCAGTGAAAAGTTGATCCAACATGATTCCATGAAATGATTGTTCTTTTTCTAGTAATTGCAGTTTAAGTGGAGTGTCATTGGCTAAGTCAAATTTTCCAATTTCCACAAACCTTCCACCATAAGATAGACAACGTATAGATGCTTGTAATTTTTCTTCTGCCAACGAATTCAAAACAATATCAACACCTCTACCATTAGTTTGCTGCATTACCAAGCCTTCAAATGATGTATTTCTCGAGTTTCCAATATGATGATCTATAAATAATAAAATATAATAAAAATTAACTTATGTCTCTAACTAATACACAAACCTTTTAGTTGAGGCCAACGTTTCTTCAAAAATTCTCTTTTTTCATGCGTCCCAACAGTAGTATACACTGTACAACCAAAGTTAAGGCAGTAGTTGATAGCTGCTTGCCCTATACCACCAGTTCCTGAGTGTATTAGAACACTGTCTGATCTCCTTAGTTTTGCTCTCTGAAGTATGGAAAATTTAAGTAAAATCATCAAAAAAGTGTAAAATGCTAACACTAAGGAAGCTAAGTTAGTTAGTTTGGGAGATTTTCAATACATAATTTGTATATCTTAGGCAATATAAATACAGATGTAGAAAAACAAATACGAAAGAAATAAAAACTGAGGATAGACTTTAAAACCCAAAAAATTAAATACAAAAAAACAATAATACATTAATACATTAATGGGAAATCGCTCACATTTTAAAAAATACTAAAAAATACACGTACGTTTATAATATACAGGTTTAAACAAAAATATGTTTTTTACCATAAGTATAAGACACTCTGTAGAGTGTCAAAACCGTATATTGTTCTAAATTAAGTTTTAATTATCAAGTCACATCTATTTTTAACAGTTTTGTTTTTGGTTCACCTTGATATATTTATTTTTGTGGAAAATATGGATTTTTTAAAAAAAAACATTGCAATTTCCAATATTTTTCCTGTATGAAGAACTAAGGTTGCTATGGTCCATTCATAGCCTATGGAGGATGACTGTGACAGTTTTGTTGGATCATCCCATACTGTTATATACAGATTTCAAAAGCTATCAAATTGTTTTTTGTAAATTAATGTGTTAATTTTAAGATGTCTTCTTACTTTTAAAAATGTTTTCGACTGATGTTGCCCTTTGTACTTTACTTCTTGGGATGTTTAAAACACTTGCCACGTAATACTGTGACCGTCCATCCTGGATTAAATAAATGGCTCTGGCAACATCAGTCGGAGACATATCCATTTTTTAAAGTACGAAGACACCTCAAAACTAAAACATTAATTTGCATAAAACAATTTGATAGCCGTGTATGACATGTCCAAGTATGGGATGATTCAACAAAACTGTCACTGTCATTCTCCATAGCCTATGGATGGACCATAGCAACCTTAGTTCTTCATACAGAAAAATATTGGAAATTGCAATGTTTTTTTTTAAATCCATATTTTCTACAAAAATAAATATATCGAGGTGAACCAAAAACAAAACTGTTAAGAATAGATGTGACTTGATAAATAAAACTTAATTTAGAACAATATACGGTTTTGCCACTCTACAGAGTGTCTTAAACTTATGGTAAAAAACATATTTTGGTTTAAACCTGTATATTATAAACGTACGTCTATTTTTTAATAATTTTTTAAAATGTGAGCGATTGTCCATTAATTTATCTACAATATTCTTTAATATTCGTTAAAATCCGACATCAAATAAAAAAGTTATTTGCGATTGAAATTCATCGAAAATTTTTGTGGATCGATTATTTTGCCTGTGAGTGTACTAATAAAGATGTGGAACAAGATAGTTTCACCACGAAAGAAAATACAGTTGAAGAGCGACTTCAAAGCCCAGAAAAAGAATAAAAGTTTACAATTAAAGACAATTGTTTTAACAAGATTGGATTTAAATGAAAAAAAATAAAACCTAGTTATTTTACCTTTACGAAAGCATACAGTATGGTTCCATATACAGCTGGTATAGTGGCAGCTTCTTCCAGAGACCAAACATCTGGAACATCCCATAGTAAATATGTATCAGCTGCTACTATGGTGGACATGGCTCCATGTACTACCATACCCATAACTTTTTTACCACTTTAAATGAAAAAATCGTATAAAAAGTGTATCAAAAATATCAATTTGTTTCTAACCTGGTATCTCTTCCGGAAAATTCGAAACCTTGGACACATTCTTGTCCAGTTCTGTCTTGAGTTATCACATCCACGTTGATTTTACCAGAGGCAGTCATTATATCCCTAAAGTTCAGTGCAGCATAGTAATTCTAAAAAAACACAATAATTTACATAAAAAAATCTTAGTTTTATAACCTACATGAACAAGAATATTTTCTGGTCTCAAGATTGTATCGTGTCTTAACGGACCTTCTATCCACCTTAAGCTTGACAAATCACCTCTGGTAGTTACATTAACAAAACAGTGTTCACTTTCCACTTGCGGCAGTTCATCTAGTAATAAATGCCGGTATGTACCCCATACGCCATTTTTAAAAACATTAATTCCCATATTCTTGGCGAACTGTTCTGAATAAAACCGATGGTCCAAATCAAACTCTGGGGTTTGATCATCAACCATAAAAAACGTTTTGACGTTTACCCCCATTGGCTCACGCCTTAGGCAATTCACTAAACCCAGAATTCCACTCAAAGGTTCATTTAGTGAGTATACAGCTACGTTGCCGTCATTTTTAACGGCTGTTTTAAGATTTTCCAACCAATTAAATTGCATGTTAGGGTCTGTTACATTCACTGATGTGTATTTTGGTAGCTGGATTTTTTTTCTTACTAATAAAAGAGTCTCTTTGGGTGTTTTATGTGCTGTTAGAATTACTAAGAATCTTTGATCTATTGAGTTTAAGTCTAGGTCGGCAGGTTCTCTGCTAAGAATGAACCCGTTATCTTTAAGGGCGTTAAAAACTTGCTGCTGAATCTAAAACAAACAAATATAATGATAAACAAATCAAAATCGTAGATGTAAAATTTGAGTTTTTGTACAGAGGTACTTACATTATATCTCTTAACTAGATTGTACCCTACAACCATATGACAGTCAGATTCAGTAACCAATTTTCTATCTTCCACAGTAATTCCTTTCAAATGTAAATCATTTTGTTTAGTTAACACAACAATGTTGGGCTGTATTAAAGGTTGGTCTCCTAGAGCCTCCAAAATTAAACTTGAAATTGGTTCTAAATCTTCATTACAAACTTCTTCTAGAACCTCTACCACTTTAACTTTAATATCTAAAAAAAAGTTGTATCAATTCTTTAAAATTCAGGACAAAACAACTTACTAAAGAAATTCTCCAGTAGAATCTGCATGTTAACCCTAACGGATTGATGTAATTTTAAACTTGTATAATTTGGAACAAACTCGTAAGTTTCCAAAACCGGTTCCCCTAGAGGTTTTTTCAAAGCTATTGAAGATGCATGAAGACCTTGAATTTCTATAGCACCGCATCTAAAAAAGACATGAATTTAAACCAGAATTTGATATAGGCAACCAACTTACCTTATGATTCCCATATCCTTCAAAACATAGACTGGCACATTAGGATTCTCCCCAAGATCTTTGCAGATTTGTATGTGCTTTTTAGAATCTATAGACAATCTTTTAATACTCGTTGGAACGTACAACAGCCTTGTATCAACTTGCAAAATTTTCATTTGTAACATGTTATCCATAAAGTTGATCCAGTTACCGTTCCAGCGTATCGTCCCTCTGGTAGCCTCTGCATTGCATTCTTGAATGCTTCTAAAGGTACCTCTACAAAAATGTCGAGCATTAAGTACGGAAAATAGTTATACTGAAAAACCCAAATTAGATAATTTAGATACATTATATATTTATTTTATTTATTTAATTGTAAATTTTACTATATAGTTTAACAAAACTGTTCTGTAACTGGTACCGCCAAACCATTTTAATTTTCTTAATTTTTTTATATCCCACGTTTTAAACATATATGATACAAATGAAGATGTCAAAGAAAGGAATACCACCAAAGAAGAAAAAACAAATGAAGAGCGGCCTTAAAGCCCAGAAAAAAGGAGAAACGTCAAGAATTGATGACAAAAATTATTGATATGAGTGAAGATGTAATTATATTTACTTATAGTTATAGCCACGAAGTCTAAGCTCTTTGTACACATCCTTTTTCAACATTGGTAAATGGTTTTCATCATTTTTACCAACTGGTAGGGCCAAATCAATCTGATCACCTTCCAGGTTTTGAACAATGTATATTTTACCTTAAAAACAAAGTAATAAACTGCACCAAAATGTGTTTTTTTTCTCTTACCAGTTACTATGCATTGGTCTCCTTCAATCACTTCAAATCTTCCAGAGCCTCTTTGCAACATCACAGTCAATTCCAAGGCGATATCTTTGGCCACATTCGTGGCCCTATGGAATTTGCAATTTTCGAAAACCACTTTCATGTCTGATATCAGAATGCCTTTGACATGGGCAAGGGTCTCCCATACCAGTTGCAAATACCCTGTTGCCGGTATAAGATTTCTACCATCAACTACATGTCCGATTATAAACTTCCACTGGTCGTCCTTTATAGTTATTTTAACTGTTCGCTCTCCAAATTTGATAACAGTATCTGTATTATATCTGGTGACGTGCCAGCTCATGTCCCAGTTCCATCTAATGCTTGGTGAAATCATGGGTGTGCCTCTGGAGACTGGATAATCAACTTTGGGGTACAATTTGTCGACTGAAAAGTTGACACCTTCATTGTATAATTTCCCGAAGAATTCTGCCAGGTGTACAAAGTTAAAATCTTGATTTTCGATGTGGGAAAGTTCTAGACAGTTTATTAAAGAATCCTTTTTGGATATGGTTTTCAAAAAATCTGTACCCAAGTCTATGACGATAGAATCTCTGTCTATCTTGCTGAAAATTTCCTTTAAAGATACAGTGTTTATCAGGTTTTCTACCAATGATGTGGACGTCAAAAATTCTTCCTTTGATTGCAGAGGATTTTTACTTAACTTTTTAGGTGTTCTTATTACTTTCTGAACCTCATTAATCAATAGTTTTTCTAAAAAAATACATTATTATTCAATTTTAAAGCTTTATTAATTTTTTACATACTTTTAGCGACTAGTTGGTTTCTGTCTAATCCATATAAGTCATTCCCTAAGACCTCCACTTCAACACTGGTTTTTCTTAAATTTTCAATAAGTTTTGTTACAGTTTTAACTGGACCTGCTATAAAAGCTATGTTTTTTGATACGATTGAGATGATTTCGATGTCTTCTGGTAAAATTTGATTAATCTAAAATTAAAAAGTTAATAATAAATAGCATATTATGAATCTTATACTTACCTCTCCCAAATTCATGCTAAGTTTGCAATACATAACATTTTCTTCGAGCTGTATATTTTTACCGATAATAAAAGTGGATAAAACTACTTCTTCCACGGTAAGAACACCATCATAGTAAGCTGATAATAAATGCCCAGTGGAAAATCCAAATGAACCATCAAGTTTTATATTAATTGCTTTAAAAATATCTATTAATGCTACACCTACAGAAACTCTACCCAAAATTTGTTCCAATGCTGTTTTTGACTGTCCTTTAATGATTTTGTTGATGTTGATATTTAGAGGTAGTAAAACCTTGTCAATCATTTGAATTGTTTTATAAAATATCGAATAATCATTTAATCCTTTTGCAATGCTTTGCCAATTGTTGGCAAAAGCTCCAAATGCAATTATAACTTTAGGCTTTAATCCACTAAAGAATTTAAGTTCTTGATAAACATCACCTTTTTTATTGGTCAAAATGAAACCTCTATACAAATGTCCAGCAATGTCTTTACTATAATATAAAGGTGATTAATATTTTAAGGCTTTTATGACAAAATTATGTCTCACCTAAAAAGTTGGTGAAGCAACCTTATATACTCTATATCACACTTAAAAGAAGAAATATGTTTGAACAAAGTTCTTATTGACTTTTCCGTTCTTCCACTCACAGGCACCAATCTAGTCAGACTATCTTTGGGCAATGCCCTATTAATTTTGACCTTTTCGTTCCACTTCAGCAAAACATGGGCATTACCACCTCCGAAACCAAAACTATTGACCCCTATAAGACCCCTATTGTCTTCAAAAGGGTGTTTGTCTACTACGACTTTTAGTTTTCCGTCTTCAAGGGGTTTCACACCTTCTCTTGGTTTTGTGAAGTGTATGTTGGGAGGGATTAGGCCAGTTTCCATTCCTATGATACACTACAAAAAAGTTATAATACTGTTTAAGGTCATTTAAAACAGTTAAACAATTAGTTAAACAGAATGTGGATCGGTTATGAAATTAAAGTTTCACTATTTTTGTAAATTTTTTGTATAGTTTTTCTAGTGATTTTGGTTAAGGCAATGTTTTGCCTAAAGACGCAAAATGTCAAATAAAAAGTTTTTAGTCATTTCAAGTTGTTAATGTTATCTTTCGTTTAGCTAAAGTGTTTGTTTGTGTGTATTACAATAGTTCTTTGTTGTTTCGAAGAAAATGCTTAAAACGCGCTTCATTTGCCCTGTGTTTGGTGCACCAAAGACATTTAAAGATAATGTATGGCCAGCATATGCGAATGTTATGAAATATTACTTGTTTTTTCGTTTAGAGTTACTGAAAGACACTAAAAAAGAATTAAGTATTGCTGCAGCATGCTGTGTGTAAGAAACTAATAATATATTTAAAATTGTTTTATCTCCGTATTTAGAACCAACAGATTCCACACCGAATAAAGAAATATTATAAGAAATACAGGACAATTAAAAAACCTCTACAAAATGATGCCAACAATTGTTTCAGACAATTAACTGATTTCAGGGACGATAGCGAAAAGAAACTGTATGAAATATGTAAAGACGATACTAATTCTTGCGTTTGTAAAATAAAAATGCCTGCAGCCTAACAAGATTCTTGACTGACCAGAGAACTACGTGAAAGATGGAAATAGGCAAAGTCTACGTATAAGCAAGCTTAAAACTTTAAAGGAAGTTTAAACAAAACGATACAATAAAACCAGGAAGTTTAAAGGTATATATTTTTACAAATGGGTGTTTTGGTTTAGACAAATAGTTCTACTGTTATAAATTCTGCTGTCACTTCACATATTAAGAACAAAATTAGCTAGTCTAGCGGAAGCTTGTAATAGAAGCGGAGTCGATCGAATAGATCAGCAGCAATTTTGGTAAGAGCAGGAATTAGACCAAAGTAAAATAGGATTATTTTCATAGAACGAATGCCGCACAAATCTGAAAAGAAAATTTATTTAAGTCATGGTGCAGTATTCCCTAGAACAGCGTGTTACTATTCTTAAGACTTATTATAAATATGGAAAATGCTATGCTGAAACCGTTCGAAAATAACGTCCATTTTTCGTTCGTGCTAATGCTTCAAATAAGACGACATGTCGTCGCGGCAGTGCAAAGGTTAGTCATTAAATTTAAGGAAAGTGGTTCGGTTGGGGACAAAAAATACCTGTGCGTCGTCGTACTAGCCGATCTGATGAAAATATTACAGCAGTACGGAAAAGTGTCACCAAAAATCCTGGAACCTCGATTCGTCATATTTCCCAACAAGCTGCTATATTGAGAAGCAGTTTACAGCAAATTTTAATAGAAGATCTTCATTTGCATCCATACAAAATTCAATTAGCACAGTAGTTCATGCAATTTGTTAATTGGATTCTGGGAAGGCAACAAGATGTTGAATTTTCAAAGACAATTTTGTTTAGCGATGAAACACATTTTAATTTCAGTGGCTATATATAGCCACTGAAATTAATATGCGTTTCATATAACAACAAACAAAATTGCAGAATTTTGGTCAACAAACCAGCAACAATTCATCAACTTCGACGCATTATTGGCGAAATTCAACAGCACATATGTGAGGATATTATAAAAAAAAAA